ACCATTAAGGCTGTAATTAACTTTTATACGATCAGGATGTGCTGTCACTTGTGTGTGCAAATGTCAACGTTAATAGGAAAGTTATCTGATACCGCTATAACTAAGTATTCTGTCAAGCCAGACCGCTCGGAAATGGCCGCCTGTGGAGTTTTACCTAACTCGCCTGACGACCGGGCACGTTTTGGAAAAAACCCAGCGGGATCTGCAAACTGAGTTTGCAACTTCAGGAAGTGAGCAAGGCTAATCGCATTATTAATTGCCGCAATAAGATGTCATCAATCCAGGTTCAGTGGCTTAAACGCAGTGTGAAACCAAGACAAGTAAATAAGTTAATTTTCTGTTATACATGCATTCATGTAAAAGTGTACCATATTGGCAATATACCAGGATGAAATTTTACACTGTTGACGTTGACTGTTAAGGGCCAGGCGATAGCGGAGAAACATATTTACTAATTATATGAAACCACAAAGACTTGTGCTCTGTTCTGCGTAACTATTGTATGAACATCTCATATGCCTGCCGCCACGGCATTTACGAAAGTGTCTCGAAACCTATATTTGCCGTTTCAGTATAACAAGTCCGGCTTCAATCGCAACTACTGAGGTCAGCAACTCGCATGCACTATGCAGTTCTTCACCACACCCCCCTCGTGCATGTTGTGCTGACAAGAAAAATATAGATGTAGGACTGCTCATTATTATATACATGAAACGTATACCATATATCTATTTAGCAATAGATATATATGGTATACGTTTCAAGCCACAAACTGGCTTATACCGCCTTTTCCTTGGGCCCTAGTGCGTCCAGGAATCTGGCACAACGTTTAACCAGTTTTACTGGAATTGGAGATCTGCCAGGGAAAAGGACAAAGCGTTTTCGGGCCTCGAGTTAGAAACAAACACAGATGAACACAAGTGTCTAGCAAGTTCGTGATTTTCCCCATATTTCATTGGATCGAGTTTGTGCGAGGTTTACAGACGGAATGGCGTGAGCTTCTACGCCAACTATTTCGCTATAGTTGCGACAAAACAATGGAGCATTCAACATACCTGTGTTCTGCCGAGACTGTGAGCCTCCTACCTGAGTCTGTAGCTGATAGACCGTCCGCGTAGTAGCCCGTGACGTGTTCGCAGGATTCCCCAGTTCTTCCAAACCGGCGCTGTCGGGTCGATCGGTGCGCTTGACTGGCGCAAAGCTTGAGTAATTGCCGCTTGAAGGCCCGTTGCAAACTCCGGTGATTGGAAAGCAGAACTCTGCCAGACGCCATAGCCAATTCGTACAGGCAACCACTCAAAACGCGCAACGCGAACACGAAATAACAAAAAAAAAATTCAAAGCGCACGTTGTCGTCGTTTGGACGTCAGACTTGGAATGATAGATGTCACCTACTCCCATTGCGCCATCCCCCCGGTCATGTGACGTGCTGACGTCAGAATACCTGGTTCCCAAGTTGCTAACCTTGGTTATTGCATAACCTCATGAAAAATGTTGATACGCGAAATGCTGATATTTTGTGTTTTCGATCGGTTTATTTTCGGTTTATTTTTCGATCGGTATATTTATGAAATCAAAAGCTAAAATAAGACATTATAATATGATTATTTATGATTTAAAAGCATCACAAGGGTATTTATTGTGATTTTTGCTGCTGTAAACTAGCTTTATTTATATACATAACTATTTAGCCTATTTAGGCATGTGCGAGCGACAATTATCCAATCAGAATCCAATATTTTCATTTTCCCGCGAAACGTTTGTTTTGATTACATAATTCATGATCAATGTTCATGATAGACAACTGATAGACTATGACATCATAACTGAGACCCAGGTCATTGCGCGGAATTCAAGATGGCGTCGGGCAAATGTGCATTCATCGATTTACCCGCATGTGACCTCTTCAGAATCCGCCATTTTGTTTCTATGGCTATACTTCATGTAGCTAATGTAGCTATATTTATTTGTGTCTTATACTTCCACTTGTATTACATGGCACATTCATCTAATCCCCGAGCCGACGGCGCTTCGCGAGGGTACTAATTCCCCCGGCTATTTACACCCGGGGAAACGAAAGCATTAGCGAAGTCTGAAGTTCATCAATTATCGCGGGCGCTCACCAACGGTGTTGGGGTGTTGGGTGGGTGGTCATCCTCACTGATCTCAAAAATATGGCGGACTGTCATGAATAGCGGACACTGAATGGTCCAATTTAAAGTTTGCATTATAGCGACTGCATGACGACACCGAAATAGCAAACATTTCTTCATTTGATCACAGAGAAGAGATATACAGAGAGGAAACTGACACTCGATAGCCTGAATTTTTGTGTCACGCGTTCCACGCGCCACGCAAAATCTTCCAGCCAGTGCTGTCGCTGAAATTTCATAGCAAATGATAGGGAAAACGCCGTTCGAAAGGTAAAAATCGCTTTTTTAAAAAAAATGAGATACCCATGGAAATTTTGTTTAATAAATTATTGTAGAATTAATAACGGTAAGCGATCACTTTTATTGATTCCTTTTTATTAAAAGTGTTAACATAACATTTTTTTTTGCAAAAGTTGTTTTTTTCCCTATCTACTCCTTATTAAAATCGTGACTGAAAACACTGGCTGGGAATTTCAGATGCTCATATATAAAAAACAAAGCAGCAAATGATATAAATTCCTCAAAATATAACTCTCGCATAAAAAAAAGCATGAATACTTCTACAATACGTATAGATTTTTCCTCCGCATTGTCAAAATTTAATAAACTGAAGTTTATCGATAAAGCCATTTAATTAATAAAGGCAGTTTAGTTTTATAAAGAACACTTTAAAACGTTTTGCGAAGCGTTTGTGGTTGAATTTTACCTTAAATTGAAGCTTATATTACGTATAATAACATACCTAACATATATATTGTTACACGACCCCTTTTCTCGGTTATATTCAGACCAATACAGCAGGATCGTCGGGGCCGTAGGGGTTTTAAAAAGCAAGACCTTCTCTTGATTTTTATAAAGTTTTATTTAAATTATGTGCGACATAAATTTGCACACCCGTGCGTCTCTCTCTGACATACAACACTGAGCTATTGTTCAAGGTTCGATTCACGTGACTATAATTAACCAATTACAATAATTACCAATATATACAAACAAAACATGAAGTAATTCACTTATAACATCCTCCCAACCAAAGATTAAAGTTTGAATAGTTTAAAATATTTAGGTATATTGTTCGCGAATTCGACGCATGGCCTGTCCTTCAACCGCCGCTTTCCTTCTAGGCCGTGCGTTGATAACATCGTCTTGAACCACAATCCCCTTTGGAACTTCATCGTTCTCGCTATCTTCCTCTGCATCTATAGTCATTTGCTGAGTTTACTCTAGATTTCTCTCGAATTTCAAAGGGAATCAAACGCTGAACGGGTCGATGTACCGATGATTGTTTTCCGGCTTTCGACAGCACCTTCAACCTCTAACACTCTTCCTATTCTCCACTGCGTACGTGGAGCAGGTTTGTCATCTTTGATTAGAACAACGTCGTCTACCGTGATATTGTTGTCGTTATTACTTTTGACCTTTCGGTATAGATTCGTTTGACGAAGTTCGTTCAGGTATAATTCGTGCGAAAACGCTTCCAAAAATCCTTTAGTACCTTTCGTAAATGCCACAACCGTTGTTTGCAACTATCTAAACTAGAGATTGCTACACAGTCTACCGATCTGAATTGCTTTCCCGTAGAAACACTGCGACCGTACATTAAGTGAAATGGTGTCAGCTCTTCGTCCAAATCATCTTCGCTTACGTAGGCCAATGGTCGATTGTTTACCGCGACTTCGATATCACGCAGAATAGTCTGGAGCTCTTCAAATGTCACAAACGCTTTACCTAGAGTTTTCTTAAGACATGCTTTTACCGTTCTAACTAGTCGCTCGTAGAATCCTCCCCACCATGGCGATGCTGGTAAGATAAAACGTTGCCTAACGCCTTGAAGTAACATGAACTTCTTCACTTCGGATGACTGGAAGGTTTTAAAGTTGTCGCTGATTACGAGCTCGGGAACACCTCGACGTGATACGAATCGCTTAAATCCCCGCAAGAATCCATGTGTAGACATGTCCGGTACTAGCTCCAAATGAATGGCTCGACTCGAAGCACACGTAAGCCAAAGGATATAACACTTGTTACTCTTTGATCCATCTTTAATAAATAAAGGTCCCGCAAAGTCGAGTCCGGTGAACTGAAACGCGTACGCCATATGATCCACTCTGTATTCCGGTAAATCTTGGCTAGAAGGCGCCCGCACAGGTTGACCTTGATAACGCGTACAAATTACACACTTTCGAATTACTTCTTTAACGCTTTTCCTCCCCTTAATGATCCAGTAGTTCCTTCGAATTCGTGCCAGCGTTGTCTCAATACCGTGATGCATTGTAGCTTCATGCGCATCCAAAATAATTAGACGAGTAAAGTAACTACTGTCCTTGCTACGAAGTATTAATAACCGGGTGTTGTTCCTCGTACTCTAAAGATGAATTTGCAAACCGTCCCTTTAAACGCATAAGTCCAACCTTGTCTTCGAACAACCGCAGTGAAGCACAAAGATTAGTATAGTTTGCTTGTTCTTTCATCAGTATCTGCTCCTCCTTTATCCACATCTCTAAAGCTTTATTATATTCATCGACTGTCAGTACACTATCATTGACGATATCACCATCTACTTTTCTCACTCGCTTCTTTAAATTGTTCACAAATCGCATTACGTAGCCAGTTGTTAGTAGCATTTTCTTCAATGAGCTGTATCGAGTGCAATCAATGACAGCACTAATTGAACATCTGCTGTTGTTAGTCGTGCCCTTCTCTGTCGTGTTACTGAAGTTGACAACTTCAGTAGGAACTTCTACATCAACCCTCCCAACCAAAGAGTTTTCGTTACCACAACTAGCTTTTACCCTGTCAACTTCCAACTCCTGTGACCACAACATCAAAGGTCCCTTAAACCAACAACCCGAAAAAGAATCTTTTAAATTTGAAGACAGTCGAGTAGGGATATCGGCAGGATTTACCTCACCCCTAACAAAATGCCACTTCTCACGATCCACCACTTTCCTTATAGCCACAACCCTATTCTCAATCCAAGGCTCCCAACTCTTCTCTTTCCCATTAACCCAACAAAGAGCAACCTCGGAATCAGTCCAACAGAATATATCATGCAAATTAATTCGGTTTTCAACTCCTATGAGTACTTCACGAATTAATTTGCTAAGGAGTAAGCACCCCCAAGAGTTCTAACCGAGGAATCGTGAGTGTTTTTAAGGGAGCTACCTTAGTTTTTGAAGCTAAAAAACATACATGGACCGCGCCCTGATAGACGAGCCGTAGGTAGACAACCGCACAGTAAACTTCTTTAGAGCTATCACAAAAACCATGAAGCTCTATACGACTACCGGAGGACAAATTAGATGTAAACACAAACCGACTATGCCGTACTTCCGCGAGCTGTTTTAACCGGCTTCAGATAAAATTGCCTTCTATCATATAGGGCTTTACCCTCCTCAAGTTTATTACAGCCACTAACCAAATCATCAACATAAAGATCATCTATAACTCGCTGTGCTATTTCTCTTTCTTTCTCTAAGTAATTACTGAGGTGATGTCGTATTGTCCCATTCAATAAGAATGGACTACTTGTAATTCCGAAAACTACTCTTAAAAACCTGTAAGTTACTACCTGCTCATCCTCAGTTTGCAAATCATACCACAAAAATCTAAGGTAGTCTCTATGCTGTGCATCTATACCAACATTTAGAAAAGCTTGTTTTATGTCAGCTAATACCCCAATCTTATTCAATCTAAACCTAAGTAAAATGTCAAAAATCTTAGCTATCAGGTTAGGACCTGAATAAAGGCATTCATTTAAGAAGGACCACTGACTTTACATGAGGCATCAAATACTGCACGTATTTTGGTAGTCTGTTTATCATTACGTATAACCGGCCTATGGGGAAGGTAGTGTACTTGCCCTGTTTCCCTTGCAACCTCAGCTGATGAAACACGCTCTATTATACCGTTTTCTTCGTACTCCGAGAATATTTGATTGTACTCATGCAAAATGTTACTCGCAACCAACTTATTCTTTAGTGATTTAAGCCGTCCTTCACAAACCTTAAAATTGTCAGGGAGCACCTCATGATCAGGTTTAAATGGTAATTTTGTGATGTACCTAGTTCCGTCATGAATAATGTCATTTTCGAATTGGTCAACAACACTGTCAGTTTTAGTGCCTATGCTCTCCACATTCCAAAACTTATCCAGTTCTTGCCGTAAGCTTATGTCTGACTCTGACTGCTCCACCAAAGCACGTAGCAAATGCATTTCAAAACAATGCATATCTGATGCACTTGAGCCAATTCGACCACTAAGTACCCATCCCACTCTAGTTTTACATGCAACAGGGCCTAATTTACTTCTTATAACCTTACCAGTTATAAAGACATGGTAAAAATCGATGCCAATCAAAATGCCGACCAGAAGATTTTGGTGTTGCTTGTGCTCAAAGTCAGCAAATTCCAACCTGCAAATTCTGGTAATTGATGCACACTTGACAGGGGCTGATGTGTCAGCGGACTACATATGGTTGGGAGACATAGGGCTTCTACAAATGTAAATCTAGCATCACCTTTATTTCTAAACTTAAGTTGAACTACATCAAGTTCCTGTACCTCACTACTCTCAGCCTGCCCAAAGGTTTTGATTACAACTTTCTCCACTCTAATTGCCTTCAATTTCAGTGTACTTCTAACCTTGTCAGATATATACGACCTCTGACTGCCACTGTCAAATAAAATTCTAGTCTAGACGTGCACACTGTCATCTGTAGGTAATATATCCGCTATAGCTGTCTGCAATAGTATACCGCTTTTATCACAGCATGTACCACAAAACCCTTGTTATCATTAGTTGTTGCGTTCTTATCTTCCTCCCGATTTATACCTGGGGATCTGCTGGTGTATGTTCGCATTTGGATATATGGTGCTTGCCAGTCTTACACTTCCTACATAAGTAATGGGACTTACAATTTTTGGCAATATGTCCAGTATCTAAGCATATACAACACCGCTTTGTCTCTACGGAGAATGGCCTTTCGGGATTGGCAATTCGAAACACTACTGCATTTGGATGATGAATGTCCCTCCTTGCCACAATACACGCATGCAACCTTATTGGTCTGACCAAACAAACCACTAGTAGTATAATATCCCCCCTTCCTTTGGGATTCTTTCTGGATAGATCTATTCGAAGTGGATGCACTACAATTCTCTTGCGCTCGAAGCTCACTATTAAAATATTCCATGACTTTATCAAGTGTCCAGAACTCCTCGCCAAATTTTCTGGAAATAATCATGGTAATTTCGTCAGGCAATCTATCTTTTAAGATTGGAATTAGCAATGAGCCGTAACCAGATGTGTCAAGTTTAAGGGATTTCAAATTTCTTACACAACTCTCTACATGATTATAAAGCATCCTTAGCTCTTTAATATTATCCCTAGATGCTATCTTACTGATCCTCAATAGTGACTCCATGTGAGCAGATATTAAGATTTGTTCATTTCCAAATCTGCCTTTCAAAATTTCTATTGCTTCCTGATAGTTTTCTGAGTTCAAAGTTAAACTGATACAGCAGATAAACTTTCCCCTTTCAAACATCCCTTTGGGTAATTAAATTTGTCTATGTCACTTATACGTGTGTTACTATGAATTGCTACTCGGAATTGGTCCCCAAACCCTTGCCATGCCAGTGGATCTCCTGAAAACTCTGGTAATTGCATTTTAGGTAATCTACAATGCACTGCGCTGCCCTGCGCCTGAACGTTATTACCATCTGAAGCGCCTAAGGTATTCATTGGCTTCGTACTTTGATTAAACGCGCAGCTAGCCTTAAGTCTACTTTCGCCAAAACATGATAGCTGGGTTCTAACGCTTTCATATGTTCGACAACTGCAGCCTCTATGTTTTTTGGATCAAGCATGTTAATAATTTCATTATGAACAACGGCCAATTGTTCAAGAATACTCGAAACAGTATTTCTCAACCCCAAAATTTTCGCTTGCTCACAGTCTTCAGAAGAACATATTGGTCTAGTTCTTGTAAAAGAATTTTTAAATAAGCTGAAAGACCGGCAAGTCTACCTTTAACTTTGCCTAAATCAGTCGCCATCCTAACTTACTATATACCGAGCATGTGGTCACTAGACAAGACGACAATTAAACAACAAATATACACTAAAAACACAAACAATTACAACACTCTTTAAATCTTAAGAATTCACCAACAAAGCATGTTGACAATAAAAGTAAGACTGCATCGCCGCCAATGCAGCCCTTGATGTTTCAAATGAATAATATTGAGGATTTAATCAACTTGTCTAAAATTAACGATCTATGTGATATTGAAATCGATGTCTTGGGCGATGCATCCAAATCTGATGATATGCTTCTAAGTCCAAATAATTCTACTATAAAGGAACTTGAGGCCTTTATTGACAAGTCTTTCTATAGCGCCTCTGTCGAGCTATCTAATCCTGTCCAGCCGACGGACTTCTCTACTCTAGCGCAAAGACGCTCTGAAGAAAACCTGCCTAAACCCGAAGCTCAATTTCTAACATTTAAAGAAAACGTTGAAACTCGGCTGCAAGTTTTGTCGTACAAACTCTTTGAACAGAATAATACCATAAATATAAATAAACAAGAGCTATGCAAATTGACCTGCAAAAATTTACATCTTAAATCACGTATCTCGGAGTTGGAGGGGAGATTGTCGCCAAAGAATACAACGAATGGGAGTAGTGACCTGAGCCCGTGTGAAAAAATAGTTAAAGGAAATAATATCTTAACTGCGAATATAGATGCTTGTGCTATTTCTAGTCGCCTTTCGCCTGGAACAACTGCATATGTCGATGACAGCGATGAATATGCTATCTCAACTGCGAATGCCGATGCTTGTGCTGTTCCTAGTGACAGTCCACCCGGAAAAAGTGCGCATGCTGATGACGCTTCGGCCCCTATAAGTCAACAGTGTGGTGAAGATAACAGCGGAGAATATGATAAAGAGACTTTGAACCGGACTGACAATATCGTCAACCCAGAACGCACAAAAAAGCTCGTAAAGCCCGCCATAATGTGCAATAGTAAGTCAACGATATGTCAACAGAAAATGTATGGGAAATCCCCTCTTCAGGATCGGACAATGCCACAAGATTGGTTAAATTATCTCCCTTTTGTAGAAACCGGTCAAGAGGAAAATGTTAATTCGAATGTTTCGATGCAACTAGATTATAATCTTACGAGAGAGAATCCGGTAGAAACGCTACCATTGACTAAGATGTCACCTCGGACTAGCTCTCATAATAATACCAACGTTATTCCCGATGAAGTTCTACACACGCCTATTGCGTTACTGGGCGCTGATTCTAGTAATGTGTGCATGGAAGATCAGTTAAAAGCATATCGACGCAAACATCAAACGGTAAACCGCATCAAGCAATGTCCAAATCCCATGCAACCCAAAAAGGTTACGTTTTTTAAAGAACAATCAAAACCATACTGTGGTAGAGTTAATAAAACCCGATTTCAGACAGAGTATAACCAGGAGTTTTTTCGGGAGGGAAATGCGTATCGACACACGAACGACTGGCTACATCACTTAAATCTTGTTCGCCGATTAACACAATGACAACACTCCAACAACGGCACCAGGGACCGCACCACCCTTTAACTTTACCTATCCCTATCCCTGTACGAATTACTAACCGAGACACAATCGCATCACAGCGTAATCCAATCGCTAATGGACTTGTAAATCCTGAGCAATTGCGACAAGTCAGACATACCAAACAAATACCAACAACATTGACATCAGCCAGAATTCATAATCCTGCAAACTGTGTCCAAATTACCCTCGCTACCGCGATGGAATCAACAGTTGCATGTGCTCCAGAAAATGTATTCGTTCCAAGTGTTCTCCTTTCCAATGTGATGTCCTTAGCGCCGAAAATTGATGAGATTCAACATTGCGTTGTGCACGCAAATTTTGGTCTAGTTTGTTTAACTGAAACGTGGCTAAAAGATTGCATCCAAGACGAAGTAGTGTCCATCAGTGGATTCAATATAGTTCGGCTTGATAGAAAATCACAGGTACACGGCGGAGTTTGTACGTACATCAGTGAATCGATTCAATTCTCCCTCATGGACGATTTAGTTGACCCTGCTTTCGAAGTCCTGTGGATTAAAATCCGCCCAGCCCGACTCCCAAGAGGTTTTAACTGCATCGTTGTGGGAACAGTGTACCATCCACCAAGTGCAAGTGATTCTGAAATGTTGAACTATCTTATAAATTGCCTCTCATCAATTGAAGCTCAGAGCCCTAATAGTGGAATCCTTCTACTCGGAGACTTCAACAAATTGAAAGTCACAAAATTGAAATCTAGTTTCAAATTAAAACAAATCATCACTTTCCCAACAAGAGGTTCAAATACATTAGATCTTATTTTGACTAATTTACACGAGTTCTATAACAGCCCAGTTCAGCGTCCCCCTTTTGGTCTATCCGATCATATGACTATTGATCTTCAGCCAAGAATACGTTCACAACAACCGAAGCAGCGATTAACAATTAAGTCAAGGGACTTGCGTCCAAGTAATCGTTTGGCTATGCACACATACTTTCAAGAAATAGATGTTGCTGCCCTAGTTAAAACCAAAGATACGTGCGCTGAAAAATTAGAGATTTTTCAATCAATCCTAAAGAACGGTTTAGACCAAGTAGTTCCCCTACGAACTAGAACTATCCATCTAAATGAGCCCCCATGGATTAATTCAACCTTAAAAAAATTAATCAAGCAACGCCAGCGAGCCCTTAGTCAAGGGAACTTAATTGAATTTCGACGCCTAAGAAATTGTGTGAATCGAGAGAGAAAAGTGTGCCGATCAAAGTACTATGAAGCAAAAGTTGAACATTTAAAAGATTGTAAACCAGCAAAGTGGTGGAAAGAAATTAAAAAGTTAAGCAGCATGTCCTCTGCATCTGGGAGACAAAATGATGTAATGAACTCTCTCCGATTCCTAGAAGAGGCCTCAAGCACATCTGACCTAGCTAATATAGTTAATGATGCTTTTATTCTTCCGATGAAGATTTTCTCACCTCTTCCACACGATTTTCAACTCGAACAAGATATCCCTTCATCCGCACCATTTGTTTTATCCGTTCACTCTGTTTTTATGAAGTTGTCGTTGTTGAATCCAACAAAAGCTCAAGGTCCAGATGGCCTCCCGGCCTGGCTACTGAAGGAGAATGCAGACCTTCTTGCAGAACCTATAGCAGAAATTATAAACAGCTCCTTCCGCGAAAGTAGGTTACCACCATCATGGAAAGAAGCGGATATAGTTCCAGTACCGAAACAAAGAATAGTAAAAGACGTCAGCAAACACTTAAGACCAATTTCCCTCACGCCAATACTTTCTAAAGTATTTTCTTCATCATACAAGAATATGTCAAACCGGCGGTTTTAAAAAAGATTAAAAGTAACCAATTTGGCTCAATTCCAAAATCATCGACAACCCAGGCTTTGATCAGCATGATACACACATGGAGCAAGTATACGGACGGAACTGGCTCTACAGTCAGAGTGGTTGTTTTCGATTTCAGGAAAGCTTTCGACCTAATCGATCACAATATATTGGTTCGAAAGCTAAAATATCTAAATATCGCCCATAATATTATCAGTTGGATCGTTGATTTCCTGAAATGCCGCAAACAAAGGGTAAAATTGTCACAGGACTGTAAATCGGAATGGAAAAATGTGCCGGCAGGAGTTCCCCAAGGAACAAAGTTAGGGCCTTGGTTGTTCGTGTTGATGATTGACGATATAGACACCACCAATACAGACTTGTGGAAATATGTGGACGATACCACAGCCGCTGAGATGGTAGAAAAAGGAGAGACAAGTAAGATCCAGAATATAGTAAATGAATTAACGGAAAAAACGTATAGGAACAAATTCCAGTTTAATGAGAAGAAATGCAAAGAGCTTCGGATTTCTTTTACAAAAAATCACCCTGAATACGCACCTATTGTTATCAATGATAAATCAATAGAAATTGTGACTACCATCAAATTACTGGGTCTGAACATTTCCAATAATCTTAAATGGAACCATCATATAGAGGAAATTGCAAAAAAAGCTTCCACTCGGTTGTATTTCCTGAGGCAACTAAAACGTGCCAAAGTTGCCGAAAAGGAACTTTTAACTTTCTACAAGACTTGTATTCGTCCTATAACCGAATACGCCTGTCCTTTTTTCCACAACGGATTACCCACGTATTTGTCAGATGAATTAGAACGTATCCAAAAACGCGCAATGCAAATCATATTCCCAAATATTAATTATCAGGACGCACTGAAGAACAGTAACTTACTTTCTTCATACGAAAGAAGAGAATACCTAACGAATAAACTCTTTGAAGAGATATGTTCTGATCCCAACCATAAACTGCATTATCCGGTGCCGAAACTAAACGAAACTGATATTGGACTAAGGAACAGATGTATGTTTAACTTTCCTGTGTGTAAAACAAACAGACTAAAAAATAGTTTTATATTTAGTAATTCAAGTAGGAAAACTTTTTAATCCTAGTTTATATTTATACTTATTGGATATTACATGTAAAATTAGTTTATCACTATTTTAATCACTTTTAACTTTTATATTATGTAAATTTATATGCAATTCAGCCATTTTGGCTGCAATGATATATCTTAATAAACTATCTATCTACAAACAATTACAACCCAAAATATACGCAAGTGAGAAAGAAAGCCTAAGGTTAATTTCGACCGAATAAATAAAGAAGTTACCTCTACCAAGACAACAGATCTGCAACCTTTCACCGAGAAGAACGAGGTTGCGAGAATGACACTTGAAGGGCACTATTAACAACAATGTTCGCTGTCGCCGTCTGAATATTTCACCGCCGTTATAGACTTATAGTTCTTTAACCGATTAGATTGTTCAAGTGTCCCCTATCGGGCTCCATTTAAAAAGCAAGACCTTCTCTTGATTTTTATAAAGTTTTATTTAAATTATGTGCGACCTAAATTTGCACACCCGTGCGTCTCTCTCTGACATACAATACTGATCTATTGTTCAAGCGTTCAGCCACGAATCACACGAGGCGATTCACGTGACTATAATTAACCAATTACAATATGGACTATATACAAACACAACATGAAGTAATTCACTTATAACAACAGTATTAATTAAAATGCGTATGTATATGATATAGACATAATATATTTTATACATCTAGTTCTAGTGAGTAGTGAGTATATATAGTGTGTAAATCAATGATATTTAATATATTTTACATCGAAATGTAGCAAAAATTAAACGTTTATGCATGTTTTCCCAAAATACAGATAGCACATTTCATGCTTTGAGAAAGGATATATATTGGAGACCAATTGAATCGATGTCAAAGAACCACCATTAACGCAGGCTACTGTTCTCTGAAATAATTTAGTCTATTACCATAGCAACGCAGCAAATATACTATTATCCTTAAAATAAATGATTGTAAAAATTTAAGCAATAGTGTTGATACATGGTCTCTACCTTTGGATGCACCAGACATAAACCAATTGGTTACGCAAGCCTTCGTCTCAAATTTCAAATTTTAACTTGCGAACGGGCATACTCATTACGCGCTGTATGGCCTGCGGAGGAGGTAGCCAATTGCACATGTACTACTCTTAATATTGTATTGCTGATTATGCTGAAAAATTTCAATAAAAACTGCCGAAATAACCGAAATATATTTCAATATCTACAAGTATAAGCTATCCCTTATGAGGGAAGAGAAAGATATATGGGTTATGTATCAAAGAGATATTATTTGACCATTTATAAACTAACATAGAGTAGAAAACATTGAGAGCTGAAACCGAGTAAAGACTCGCACGACTCGCATGACTCGCACGACTCGCAGACTCGCATAATAGTCTATCTCCTTGTGTTTGACATGCAATAGGATTCACAATTAATTTTTTAAGTATTCAAAAACAGTTCGCGCGCTTGATAATATTATATTTTAAGTTAAAAATGCGTATGGTATTCCCATTCTTTTTCATTCGCGACCTTGTTCCCATACATGCCGGCGGCATACACCAATACCGAGTAATTGGGAACTGGGACTGAATTTGGAGAGTGAAATATGAGGTTTAGCATCACGTCATGTACTTGCACAGGTTTTCTGATATGAAAGTCAAAGAATTATGGGTGTTTCTGTTTTCAACTACGTGGATTGAAAATAAGTCTTCAAGTGCCTATCACACGAAATTTCACCCCCAAATGTTTATGATTGCATTGCAAAGATCACTTAAAATGACTTAATAATTTCTTTTATAGAATTTTGGTAACTTGCTTCCTTTGCAAGATATTCAACTTTGTTTCATGTGCAAATATCACCGGTGTGACATCACATCGCATAATGACATTTTGAAAACGCAATATTTTACCTTGATAAAATATTTACAAATACACAGGGTTAATTACCAGTTATGAAATTAATACATATACAAGGGCAATTTTAGACACGTATTCGTCAAGAAAACATATACCTTTCTGAAAACTCATTATGCAATGTGATGTCACACCGGTGATATTTGCATATGAAACAAAGTTGAATATCTTGAAAATTGAGCAAGTTACCAAAATTCTATAAAAGAAATTATTAAGTCATTTTAAGTGATCTTTACAATGCAACCATAAACCTTTGGGGTGAAATTTCGTGTCATAGGCACTTTAAGAGATTCATATTTCATCCCCCCAAATTCAGTCTGGGATTACTCGGTATGTTGAATTGGTGTAATATAAAGCACTTTCTAGATTGAAATATGATATTTCCAGTAATACTCTCCCGTGCATTTTAGGTGAATGGGTGCATGTTAGCAAATACATTCCTACGCAACTGCTTATTAAGCCAGTTGTTTGATTATCAAATTAATTGTTGGCTATAGGCTATACTAATTATAACTGACGCTGATATTTTCAACAGTTTTGTGTCTTGATTATCTAGACAATAAGAAGTCAGAAGGATCTAATTCTATAAAAGAAAAGAGTAGAAATAAAGCTAGAAGCATACAAAGAATCCTCCAAAAACTGAAGGAATTTAAAGACACTAACACGTGGTTAAAAATACGAATGTTTTTAAAAGTTTCAACCATTGTTCTTGTTTTAATGTTATTCACCGTCTTCACTGTACAGTGGTTCTCACTCAGAATAACTTCAAATGAACCTGTTCAGTCGACAATAGGTAAAGTAAACTTTCACATCTCTGTTCAATGTTGGATATTTGTCAATCTCAGTTATACAATAATTGTAATTATTATTATTACTAAATTATATTTAATTGTTCGTTACATCATTTCAAGGGATTATTGCCCTCACTCAATTTTAAGCATTATAAACCTTAGCCTTGATTTTCGAGTTGGTGGCATATGTTTATTTATGACCGTAGTTATGTATATTTTATTCTACATGTATTGTCTGTTGTTGTATCTTTAATCGGAGGAGTGCCTCGCATGGGACCTCGAATCCCGTTCGCACTCCTACCGTTTGGTCACTATCCAATAAAGTATTTAAAACAATCTCCAAATCTCTTTTAATTATATAGCCTTTTCTGGTGATACGTTTTTCTCTGCTGTACGAAATGCTACATACTTTTCTATGATTTTGGGCCTTTGGTCTTTGTCTGTCGAAATAATTAAGGCATTTATGAGGTTAGTAGTATCATTGTCACTGTCACGGTCTGTGGACTGTGGTGCAGCCTATATATATATATACAGTGGGCGCACCATTATAGTATAATTGAGCGTATATATTTTCATATTTATATTTATATTTGGGCTTCCTTGACATCCTTGTGTAATTTTATCATTTGTTTGTGTATTATGAATCTTTTTGTGGCAAATAAACT